AGGAAAAGAACCTTCAAAGGAGCGAACTGTGCAGTCCTTCCCCACCTGCTCCCGAAGGAGCACACGAACACAGCAAGCCAAGCCAATCCCAAGCAAATCCAGGAGACCCCTGCAAAGCTACGTGGTTAGGGTCAGATTCGTGTCTGCCTTCTCAGCCTCGCTGCCTGGTTTCCTCAGCCCTTGCCTCATCTCAGATTTGTCGCCACAGATTTTAGTAGCTGTAACAAATTTATCTGGAGATGGGTGCTTGCCTTATGGGATCAGAGCCGCTAAGGTCGTCACAGTCACTTTTCCCATCCCAACACCACAGACGAAACTAACTCTCGATGAGCTCTCCAGCATTTCACCCATTTTTAAAGCAAGAGTCTTGCCTCAGGGTTCATATTTTTACAAGGTTACTCTTGCCAACACCAGATCTAGCTCCTACTCTGGCAGAAGTCTGCTGGGAGGTGGGGAAATGAAAATAAGAAAAAACAAAGACCACTCCGAACCCTCCTCTCGGTCAGTTAAGAAGTGTAGCACCAGCTTGGGTGAGGAGTATTTAAAAAAAAGCATTCAAAAAAGATCAGCCCAGGCAGAGTGAAAAGGTATGGTAAAGTAGCCTGCCCTTCTGAGCAAAAGATGGAGGAAAAAGCCATACTCAAAAAAAAATTGGGAAGAACTAAACACAGTTTTTTGAGGCGGGGGGAATTAAGAGGAAGAGTGGGAAGTACTGAAGTAACATTCAAAGGTTGGGGGCGGGGAGTAAAGTACCCTGTAGGTTATAAAAAAACACAATAATGTAGGAGTCAAAGGATAAGATATTGCTTTTCCTTTTTCCTCCCCATTGGATTTACATTCTGCTTACTGAAAGAGATAATTCTGAAGGAAACTTGTCATCAGGATAACCCGCTCAAGCCCTTCACACCTCAAACTTAAGAGATCTGCACGCCTTTTCCCACCCCAACCAAAAAAAAACCAAAACCAAACCAAAAGAAAACCCAACCCCCCAAAATAAAACAGAAAGAAGAGCTCAAAAAAACCCACCCAACCCCAAACATGATTGGACAATCCTTGGAAGAAGCATTACATTTTGTTGGAGAGAGGACAAGGAAAAAAAAAATTAAGAGGATGAAGGGGTAGAATAAAAAAAAAAAAAAAAAAGAAAAAAATCAAGAGGCCTCTCTTTCCTTATTTGGCGACAAGCAAGTGCAAGAAAGTGTTCATTGGGGTTTTGTTCAGTTGTCGGTCTTCTGCACATCTGCGTTCTGGCCAAGACAAGGGGCTTTGAGGTTTTTCTGCAGCACGTGAGCATCTGCTGGCTCTATCCTCTTGTAGTAGTTTTTCTTCGTCTCGATGATCTCGAAGCCAAACTTTCTGTAGAAGTCAATTGCGGACTCATTGCTGATCTGGACATGCCTGGGACAGAGAGCAGGACAGACAGACAGACAGGCATCAGACTTTCGGCGGGACAGCGGTCTGCCTCCACACTCGGAACAGCCAGGGATCAGACAGAGACAGGAACGATGGTGTAAATGCAGGACTGGAAATTTTGGTCCTTCCAAAGCAACCCTGAGCTAACGCACAGCGCCCCGACAGCCTGCGGCAATCGTTCTGAGACGCGGCAAACGTTTCCTCTCGGTGAAGCTCTTTTAAGGAACACAAATAGCAGAGAGACTCTGAAGCATTACTAGCTCAGTAATTTCAATCTTTCTTAATCTCCAACTGACAGATATTTTGTGGAAATATATAAAAAAGTTTCACTGCAGAGCCAATTTAAACTTCCTGCATTGACACTTCTTGGATGACCAGAACAGTCTGAGGGATGATCCCTGCATGGCGCAACACGAAAACTGGCAGTGGTGTTTGAGAAGATGTTAACTCCTGGCTCACTGCTAACTACCCAAAAGCCTATGGCAGCACGAAGAAGCCCTATGGACTTACAAAGTCCCTTCTCTTTTATCTATCTTCCCAGAGTTTTACAGATCTTACTAGTACATTCCAAGAATTTCAAGGCCTCCAGAACAAACAGCCCTCGATTCTTCACTCTAAGCGACCAGAACATTTATTTGCACAAGTTCTATCCAAGAAAAAAAAAAAAAAAAAGGTTTGGCTCAGCAAAAGGCATTCATTAAACACTCCCAAAATTCAGTGGACACTGCACAAGCTCATGAATCACTCTGTCATGACAACATGCCACATAACCGTAGAACCAAAGCAACTCTGGAAGCAACAGCAGAACAAAATAGAGCTTCCTGTTAAGCCCAATAAACACCAAATAGCTAAAAGGAAACTTCATAATAACGACAAATTCAGCCACCGATATCAAATTCGGTGCTGAGCTGCACAGTGTGTTCAGGCAGAAAACACAGAAGCAACAGGCACAGTAATAAAATCAATGGGCCACTTGTACAACTTTGTTACACCAACTTCGGGGCTATTTGTTGTCATCTCAGAGTCCCACCCTGGGAAGTGAAAGAAGGATTGCGAAGGATTTGGGTTTTGCACTAAAACCAGCAAACAGTTCACCCACTGTGCGCACAGCGATGTGCAAAAGCGAAAAGGAAAGGCTGTGCCAACCAGCAGGCGTCAGAGCTCGTCACCACTCCCGGGGCAGGAGGGCAGCAAGAGAAGCCAAAAGCTGCTTTACTCAGACTCCTCTTGAAAACGCCAGTTCCTCCCACAGAGATGGCACAAAGCTACAGCAGGAGAGGACCTGGAAGAGTTTGCACCTCCTTGGCAGAGGTGGACTAAGCTCGAGGAAAAAGTCATTCTGTTTGCAGTGACACCAGCACATGAAACCCTCCTCACCAAGCACCTTCAGCAGCCCTGGCCACAATTCGGCGTGCAG